ATTCCTGTTATTTGAAAATTTTGGAGGAGAAATATATCAGTAATGAATTTGTGGACACAGTGGAGTGTCCACACTAGTGCTACAGAGGTCTTGTACATTTGGCAGTTGGTATGGAAAAAGATACCAGTCTCTGCTCAGTTCTAGATTTTATGGTTGTTATGAAGTAAAACTAAATAGAACCATATTGCCATGAGTAAAAACCCCACCCCTTTATTACTCCTAAGAATTTGGTTTCCATAATGACAGACTAAGTCCTTCCCTGTGCAATGCCTCCTCCACCTGACTAGCAGGAGACAGTGCCTGCTCTTGCTGTAGCTTTACTGATGGAAGAGGGGACATTTGGACATCTATGCAGTGTGTGGAATGGGAAGTATTGCCCTCTTCAGGAGTAAATTTTGTATTTAACTGCAAATTACACTCTTTAAAAAATTAACCCAAAACTTATCTTCCAACTAGTAGAGTTTGTTCACTGATGTGGAAATTTTTGGCAGTTGTTTATCTGTACAGTGGGAAATTAATCACGGGTGAAGTTCTCATAGCTGGAATAATCTGCCTTTTTCTTGCTCTTCAGTGTTTATTGTGTTACTCATCTCTATAAGAATAAGAAGTTTGTTTCAAGCAAGATGTCAGATGCCTATACAGGAATTCATAGCTGGTTGGAGATTGCTTTGTGGGGACAAGAGAGTGGGCTATTGATGTTGTTTTTTAACAATATCATTAGAAAACTTTACATTTTATTATGGCTTCTGCCATCAGATTCAATATGTTTCTGTATCTAGTAGTTGATCCATCTAGAGTGTTAGAATCAGACAGACATAGAAAAGTATGGTGATCTTCACATGGGTGAAGCTGTAGGTGGTTGAGGGACACAATGAGGGGTTTGTCCTCTCTGCATTCATAGTGAAACCTCACTTGGTTGGGTGGAGAATGAGAAGTGACGCTGCCGTGAGTTTTTAATCCAGTCATTAGAATAAACAAGGATTATTTTTTTTCTCTTTCCTATTCCTGTGAAATATATAGCTCTGAGATACTCACATTTAAAGATGCTGCTACAACAGTAATGATGGCTGCTACTTTTAATCAATTTTAGGTGAGCTGAAATCCTTGGCCGCTCTCGACCGTGAGAAAATTCCCGTGTACAACCTGGTTGCCCGAGCTACAGATGGTGGTGGCAGGTTTTGCCAATCAGAAATCCATCTTATTTTAGAAGATGTTAATGATAATCCACCAATGTTTTCATCTGATCATTACACTGCATGTGTTTATGAGAATACAGCTACCAAAGCTTTGTTAACAAGAGTCCAAGCCACTGATCCTGATGTTGGTAAGTGAGCAATACTGCAAACAGTAATTAATGTATGGGAAAACTGTGGGATGGTGGAACTGCAATACACTTAATTTTTCTATTGCTGCCTTTCCTCATTCTTTTCTCCTTTTGCTTCTGTATTCACCCATTTTTCTCTCTTTTCTTTACATCAAAAGTCTCATGGCTGAGCTTGAAGTAATGGTGTTACAAAGAGAAAAGCATTGCAGAAGCATCAATTCTTTTATTCTCTTGATCAAGGACAGCTAAGCTTAGGGGCAAATTATAGTTTGGGGGGTAAATTCCAACTTTCTTCCTCCAATAGTTTGACCTCTTCTTGAGCCATGGTTTTGAATAGTCATGCCTCTATTTATGCAAATAATATAGTTATGTGCCATAGGGAGCTATGCCTGATTAATCACAGCTTTTCTAGAGTTTTATACTGTTATAACTCCCATTTGTTCCAGCTGGTTGCCTTAGCACAAGCCTATTGTTGTACACTGAGTGTACATTTTAATTGTTCTGGTTGTTTAACTGTACATTCTTTTAAAGTGTAATAGTTTATTATATAAGGAACTTAACCTTGAAATCTGGACTCAATTATAAATATTTTAAGGGGTTCTTTTTGCATAACATGGCTAAACCTGCCGAATATCAGATAATTTTTTTTAGGTCATTCACTTCAGTTGGAATAAATAAGTCCCATAGTTTATTTTTAATTCCTGTGGTTTTGTAGATATTTTGTAAACACCGTGGCCTGAGCAGCTCCACATAAAAAGCAGAGCTTTAATTGAAAGAAAAAATATTTCATGTTAAAATCTTCTTTCCTGAAGTACAGTGCATGCTGGAAGTGTCAGATGTTAGTAAGGCTGACAATGTAAATATACAGGAACCAGCAAAGGACCAACAAGTATTCATTAAAGTATCTATGAAAGGCTGCTTTATATGCCTTGGTTGGAAAATCACAATTAAAATTATTATATTGTCCTGCAGGGAAAAGCCAATTACTGGTAGTAAACTAATGAACAGTCTGAAGACCCAATGTTGTTGTTTCCACTGTTGTCTTAATTACCATTTTTCTCACAGGTGAGATGACATTCAAGTCATTTCAAGAGTGGGAAAGAGAAAGAACTGGAATCAAACATTGTCAATGAAAGTTATTGCTAGCACCAACTTCACATAAGATGGTTAGCAATTAAAAAAAAACAACCACAAGCTAATTGCTGCACCTTCCTCCTGAAACTAGAAAAGTGAAAGGGAGGGATGCATGCGGTGAATAAGAAGGGGCTGTGTACTTGCTTAATTAGACCTAAAAATCAAACAAGACACTGTATCATATGAAAGTGACTCCGTTTTCTAAAATTAGATTTTCTATTAATTACTGTTCTATTAGTCCATACTGATTCCCTGTTGCTGCATAATGAATTAGTTCAGGTAGTGTAATGTTCCCGGCACAGAGAAAAAACATTGATATTCCTGATGGGCAGCTTTTGTGGAGCATTACCCCAAAAACATCAGGGGGGACAGTAATCATAATATAAATATTTTTTTAACATTCAGGAAACATCTTTTGGTCAGTTTAGAATTTGCCAGTTCTGCTTTGAATTATGAAGAGCCAGAGATTGTAAGGATAGGAGCATTAAAATAAAATAAGTCAATTTGTGGTCTACAGCTAAATACCATTTAACATAAAACTGACAGTATTGTGGTTAGACACTGTTGGATAATTAAGGCAATTTCCCGATAGCAGGAAAATAGTGTATTATCTGCACTGTGCCTTTGATGTCTCTTAAAGTTCCTGAACTCATAATGTCCTAGGAATTTTCAGGACTGGAACATAAATTGTTGTTGAATATGTTTGTAATTTGGATACAGGCTTGTTGTACCAGCTGGACACACTGAAGTAGAGATGTGAGTCTTCTTGATGGTATTCAACAGAAGAAAAATGCTATAGCTGTCAATCAAAAACTTAACTCTAGTAGCACATGAGTGCATTTTACATAACCTCTGCATGTAGCTGGGTGTCTTAAATTAGAAGATTGCTTGAAGGAAGAAAATACACACACATCCCTTTGTTACACCATATTAGTAACTTTAATGTAAGACAATATTTTTTTTCCATCCTACTTCAACTGGAAATTCTTAAAATTTCAACAATGTTATTTTTTCTACTAACTCACCACAATCAGATTTGGAAATGTGAAATTAATAAATGAAAGAGAAAGGCTGAGTTTGCAGGTTTTTCAAAAAGATCACAGGGAGCAGTGGATTTTCCAACTCCCACTGTCTTCAAATCAAAGTGCCAAATCACTCCATTCTGAAAATTAAGGCACGAGAAGAGTTGAAGTGAATATTGAGGTGTGATTATCTGAGCAAACCCACTAGACAACTACAATATCAGTCTGTTTCAAAGGAATTAGGGTCACACTAGAGCAGCAACGGTGAGAAAACCTACATAGGACTTGTAGCAAGCATGACATAAAAAAAACTGATAAACATCAAAGTAAACCTGGGGCCTCAGCTGCTGTCTGAGCTGGAGGTTCATACTTCTTTCCAGCACTGCTGATGGTTTCTACATGCATACAGTGTTCACAGAATATGAGAATGACACTGTGATCCAAGCTCAGGAATCCTTTAAGTCATGGTTAGAAAATCCTGCCTCAGCTGCTTTGCCATGCCAGTGACCTCTGTGCTCAGATCTGTTTCTGTGCTGATTGATGGTGTACTCTACCAACGACAGAAGCACTTGTACTCAATGTGAGCAGCGCGTCATCTGTCCTTCCTCAGTCCTCTTCATCACCACTGGTGGTTCCACCCATCCGCATTTGTAGTCAGTTGTGGTTTCACTGAGCTGTTGGGTGTTTTTGGGCATTGTGATGAAGACTTGCCTTCCACTACTGCCTTCCAGTCTCTACATTATCCTATGGTCAAAGCCATGGCTGGTACACGCTCATGCCTCAAACTTGTGGGAATGCTCTTATCCCTTTTATATAATACAGTATTATGAGAAGCTTTCTTCAATTTTCCCTCCTGCCAGAAGGCAATTAAAGTGTAACTCATATCCAAGAGCACCACATTCACCAAGCTGTGCTAAATTTGAGCACCCTGCAGTACAGGAATGCAAAAAGGTTGAGGTTGGAAGGGACCTCTGAAAAGTAGTCTTGTCGAACCACCTTGCTCAGTCAGGGCAACCTACTGCAGGTTGTTTAGGACTGTGTTCAGATGGCTTTTGGCTGTCTTCAAGGATGGAGATAGTCCCTGAGTGCTGTGCAGCATGGGTACCCCAGGGGCCCTCTGGGAATAACCAGAGGCCTGCACAGATAAGGGTACAAATGAAAGTGTGACACCCCCACTGAAGCCTGGCAGAGCAGTGCAGACAGGCAGCAAATCCATGCTGATGCCCACTCTGACTGCCAGTTCTTCCCAAGCTAGAGATAATTCAAAGAAGGATCAATGGCAGATGAGATTTTGCAAAAAGTGTAGTCTGGGAAAATATTTTCCCAGATTTAATAGCATTCAGTAATGCAACCTAGAAAAACAATAAGCAGAGTGGCACTTTTTTCAAAGCATTTTCTCACTTTTGTGCATAGGATGCCCAGATGTGTCCCAGCTTCTGCAGGGCTTATAACCTCACAACAGAGTGGCCTGAGGTTTATTTGTCAGTTCTCCATAATTTAAGCTTTGCTACTTAGGTAGATGTGAGGCAAAAAATGGGTGTTGAAAGCCTTACTCAGGGATACAGCATAAGCCTTGAGGCTCCCGCAGAATTTAAACAGCCATGTTACACAGGTCACCTGTGACTGAATTTGGTTGTGTTTTTTAAAGAGTTGTATATAGTTAAATATTATTTGGACCAAGATTTAGGAGACAGATTCTGAAGTCAGTGATGTCCAGTGATAGGGCAAGGGGGAATGGGTGCAAACTGGAGCATAGGAGATTCCACATAAACATCCGAAAGAACTTCTTTACTATGAGAGTGACAGAGCCCTGGAACAGGCTGCCCAGAGAGGTTGTGGAGTCTCCTTCTCTGGAGACATTCAAAACCCAGCTGGACACGTTCCTGTGTGATGTGCTCTAGGTGATCCTGCTCTGGCAGTGGAGTTGAACTGGATGATCTTTTTAGGTCCCTTGCAACGCCTAAGATTCTGTGCTTCTGTGATTAGTGTGTTTGTGTTCAATGTGGAGAGATTAAATCAATTAAGTCTTATCAACCTGGTTCTCAGTGTAGCACTTCTAGCAACACCAAGATACAGCACATTTGTCCCTGAAAAACTGCCCAATAAAAAAATAATAATTAATTGGAGTTTAGACCTACCTAGTATTAGGAGGTGAACAAAGTGTTTGAGTACGTAAACAAACCCTATTTCTTATTACTTACTTCCCATGCCTAGGCACCTGGGAGACCTAATCCTGTACGTAGTCAGTCTGTAGGACCATGTTGTTGAATCTTGTAAAGGGCTGTATTTTTAAAGCTGCAGACACGTAGTCAGGGAAATTTAGTAACCCAACTTGCATTAAAATAATGAGTATATGTGTGTCAAGATAACTAAGAGCTAGTCTATGTTCAGCAAGCAGAAGTAATCAAACCAATCTTATTTCCTTCTGCAACATGCGAAACAGCCATACAGAAGGAAATATGGGTAGTATGGCTTAGTTTTAGGGAGGTTTTTGACATCATAACACATTATACTTGTATAAGCAAGATAGGGAAACATGGTCTACATGAAACTGTTACCAGGTGGATTTGTAATGACTGTTATACTGGAGGGATAAGTTAAGGAAAGGTACCAGGTGCAACACTGGTCTTATTTTCATTCCTGAATGGATAAGTAGGCATAAGGTCTGTGTATTGCTTGGTGTCAGGAAGCAGAATGGGGCTGCAAGTTCTCTGGATAGTGTCAGAGTTGCAGTTGTGGGATTTAACTGTGGGTTAGAAAAAGTGGTATGGAAAAATACAATGCAAGCCATGAAGATAAATGTGAAATCCTGTGTTTAGATAAGAATAACCAAGTGCACCAGTA